AAGGAATCGAAAGGACATAAAAAATCTTAGAACTTTGAAGACACGATATGGGAATATGGAAATTGAAAAAAAGTATGATATAAGAAGTGTATGAAGTGGACAGATGATATTACTCATGTTTAAAAGGCTCTATTGATATAGAGCCATCAGTTATTTTCAAGTACATCTGTTTACATATGCACATACATTTATCATTAAAATGGAGTGTAGCATTATTATACAAATATAGTAACATCATTGGATGCCAGCCATCTCAGTGGTCAAGTTGGTTAAGCACCTGGCGCGAGACTGATAGGTCCTGGGTTCGAATCTCGCACTGGGCGCGGTAGTGGATGCGCACTGCTGAGGAGTCACACGTTATGACGAAACGGTCGTCTAGTGCTTCCAGGTTTTCCATAGTGGTCTAGCTTCAACTGACTCATGATTCCAACCAGTGAAGTTTCTAAAATCTCCACAAAACCCATCCTAATGAAAATATTAATCATTTGGGAAAAATCCAAAAATTAACTCGTTTAAAACTGAATAAGATAGAAATATCTATTTTTCTTTAGGATATTATAATGATGTAAAGAAACTAGACAGTTTCAAACTACTTAGATTTTATTTTACTTCTTCTAAATCAATTATAATGTACCATAACAAATTTGTGGATTGTGATGATGTGTCATCTTGATAAAAAAATCAATCTAGTAAATGTTCATTATAAACATGTACAATGACAATCATAAACAAAAATGAACTAGTTTTTTTATAATTGATTCCTGTCACAAATTAATAATGGTCATTTAATTTTATCCTTGAAAGCTACAGAGGTATGATAAATCAATTAATGATTCTTATTTATTTATAACTTATAACTTCTATTAAATGTATGGTTACTTTTTAGTTAAAAATATCTTTCTTTGAGCTAACTATTCATTAAAAGTTAACAAACAGATACGTTGTTATCACATTTGTGATTGATTTAAATTCCCGTAACATTCTATCAATCATTTCTATTTGCCGCTCACCATTAGAAGAATAATTTTATAAGTATTATAAAAAGGTTATGCTTCATTTGATCGAACGATGGTTCAAAGGAAATGTCTGACCGATTAAAAAGTCGATGACATATTGGTATGTGAAACATTTGGCTAGATATTTAGTTATTTTTGTATCAGTACACTGAGTGTTATTTAGTTTCATTACTGACGGAACATCACGATAAATGGTCAAGATTTTAGTGTTATCTAACTATGCATATGCTCATGTTTTAATCATGGCTTGCACATTAAGCAAGGATGAACTAATGATTAATTGAAAGTTTGCATAAATACACAAGAAGTTAGCGTTCATTTTCAACAAAACAAAAAGTAGTCTCATTGATTGGGATTTCTGTTTGTCAGAATCGCACAGAACTATACGATGTTTAAGAATATTATGGCTGAAGCCATTAAATGTCAACCCAGTGACTTGAAAGTAATTAGCAAGACATAATTGTCTGAAATACCATCTTAGGAGACTGCATGTCTTGTACTAATACGGAACAGCTATCTCGTGTTCTTTACTACTGAAACTGCTGCATCCTTCAAGTTTTGTTTTGTTCATTTATCCACTCAGTTAAACAAACAGTCTTTCTGTCAGTACTTCTTCATTTTAGTTATTATTGTTGGTAAAGATTGTCATTTGATTCTTACTATTTTTTTACATCATCAATTGTATACAACTAGTTCGTCATAAATGTTTTTATTTATGTCAAAATATCTTCGTTAACATTTATAGGCTTAAAAAAAGAATATTTTGAATACTTAGTTTAAATTTATCATTTGCTCTTGTTTTAAATATAAATCAAATTCGTCTGATTGTTATTTTAAGACTCATCTGTGATATTTTCTAAAAGTCAATTTAATCCTATTTGTGTTGGTCTTGCCGAATAGATTACTTAGGTTGTTGATCATTTAGAAGACAGTGCTCTAAAGATCATACTATTTACAGTAAAAATGATTAATGTCGTCAAAATTATGATAAATATGCAATGATATTTCACATTTAAGGATTTGAATCTTACTGGTATTAATGTTATGGATAGTAATCGATCAGTCTCATTTGGTATATGTTGACCCTTTGAGGATTTCCTTGATACTGACATAAAGTTACAGGTTTTTGTAGGCAAAGCTTTTGATATTGACATGTAGTGGGACCCCGGACCCGTGGTTTTCCTGTTTGGGATCGGTCAGTTGGATTTACTCGAATTCCATTGTTGAGTCCCAATTTATACATCAACACTAAAGTGGAGGAGAGTTCAACCATCGAGCCCTAGGTAGAACGAAACATGGGTACTAGATTCCACCGCTCATCGATATCACAATTTTGCCTAAGGAATAGGCGAATTTTCTGAAAAAAATTTTTTCGTGCATATATCTGTGTTTTAATATGGTGGGAATTTTTCAGTGACCCATAATAAGGACGGTCAATAAAGACAGATTGCCTGAATTCGCCACATTCATGTGTATTTAACAACTCAACTGCTTCTGTGGAGCCAGTTATATAGGGCTTACAATTTTGCAAGTCCGTCATTGCACAACATAGCACCATCCGTCTTGGTTGAACAAAGGACAGGTAAGAGTGATTAAGAGTCCTATTCTCGCTCACTTGATGGACACAGGTCATCAAGTTGAATCCAATAAAGCTTTTAAAGTTATCCACCATATTTTATCAAACTTGCCGCATGGTTTACGAATTCGTATTTTGCATATTGCTGAAGTCATTGAAACCCATGTTCACAAACCAAACCTTTGCATCCAAAAGAAGTTTGTATAACCACTCTCTCTACTTTGGTCATCGGTATAGTGATGAGTTTGTAATAGAACCTTGATAAACCATTTTCATATTTATTCCACTTTTTATATTCTACTTATTCTCAACATTCGTTTCTTGATTCTTACTTAAATACTGTACTACTGACCGTTCATCAAAATATTTTGTTAGTTCCTTCTTTTCAAATAATTACTTTGTTCCAATTACTCAGTATTAGTTTATAATCGATATTGCATCATATAATTATTAAGCAACATATCTACTCGGTGAGTATTGGTTCATTATTGTAAACATATATATATATTAGTGTAGAGCCATGATGAAAAACTAATTGAAAAGAAATTTTTTCGCTCGATTCTTTCCTTCTTTATTCACTAAATGTCGAAATAAGAGTTTTCATTATAATGTTTTTTGTTAAATTATTTGTTATATTTGAATCGTGATATCTTATTAAGACTGAACGTTTTATACTCGTAATTGCCTTCATTATTATGTATTGAACGCAGTTATATTCAAACCAGATAGAATAATACGTGCCGAAACTCAGTGTAAGCATCTTCTACATTTTCATTATTACTGATAATATTGATCCATAACAGAAATTATTGGTTAGGTGTCTAAATAAATTTGTATAATAATTCCGACATGTATTATACGTGAGTTACATTCTGTGATCACTGTGAATAGAATTACTATTTTCCAGGCCGAACACAATATCAATATAGGGTTATAGAGATCATTAAATGTTTACTGGGATCACGAACCGATCAATGTTAGACCACCATTAATATCAACACTGTCGAATTTCGGTTCAGTGTTTTAGAGGTTCAGCATTCGCGCGAGACCAAAGGTCCAGTGTTTGAGTACTCCGTGTAGAATAGTGGATGCACACTGTTGAGAACTACCATGATGGGACGAAAGGGCCATTCACTACTTCGAGATTTTTATTACGAGTCTAACGATGATCGTTTCATGATCTCAATAAACATAATATCATGAAGATAGGAATCATATTGGAAACAGACTTTCATAACTCTATATAAATTTAACAGAGACATTCATACAATGACAATGTAGCGAGTTTTGCCAACTAAAGATGAGTACTTATAAAATCTTAAATAAAAATAGTTTTTATTCAAATTAATCTACTTATATCATACATTTTATGAATCATGTTTAACTTAGTATAATTAACCAATTATTCAAAATTTGCTTGTTTTTTTTTAAAGTAAGACATATATATGAACTTACAAAATATAATTTGATTAACGGAAATTATTTTCTTTAAAGAAAACAGTTTTAGTGACAAAAATTGACAAAATTAATCGGTAAAGGTTGGCAATTGTATTTAAAGTGTGCCAATAAATAAAAAAAATCATATATTATAGGTGTTTTGACTTCTCGATCCCTATGGTATAAGTCAGTTGGTAACAAGTAAATAATGTTTAACTATTTGGTAGTAGAAAACTATGATCAATAAAACATTTTATTTAGTTCTTTCAATTATATGTTTTTAATTTTAATTAGATTTGAAGATAAGTAATAAGATTTCATTGGTCAATAATGTTTATTGTATAGAAACAAATGAGAACACTTTAAATGATAAATAAAACTTATGCATACCAGTAAGTAGAACTGTTAGTTCCAGGGAAATAATTTCATGTTTTGTACAACTTTTCTAACATTTTGTCTTATTATGTTGTATATCTTTTTTTTGTATACTTTTAAACCCAAATAAATCCTCAAATGCTTATAGAAGTAATTGTTTTCACACTTTATAATGATTTAGTGTTTTGCTTTCTTTTTTTTTGTTGTTGGTTTTTTATGTGACGGAGATTAAGGAGTCCTTTGCATTTTAAAATAATAACACCTTCTAGTCAAATAGTTTATAATTTTAACGTGTATCCTATGTATTTATGCATATGTCTAGGAAAATTTCTTTAACCAGTTAAAATTCAATAAATTAGATCAATAATGGTTTTTCCCCTCTTTAGAAATGTATCGATGAATATGTGGCTGTGAAAAATTGGAAGACCTATTTTGTTATAGATAGACAGATGGAAGAGAGACATAGACTTGAATAATAATAATAATAATAATAATAAATTAATCGTATTTTTTCCATCTTTTTATAAACATATATGTATATATAAATATAAATTTGATTTAAATTTAAAAGAACATTGAAATTACATTTCATAGAAATGAATCAAAATCTTTGTTTTACTTTATCGATTCTTTCTATTATTATTATTATTGTTTATTATGGATTATTACAAGTTGTGGCAGTTGCTCCAAAAGGTCATCCTAAAGGTAAAAACATTAAAAATAATTTTAATTTACAATAAATTTTCAAAAATATATTATTATTTATATTATTAATTGGATACCGGCTCAGTAGTTTAGTTGGTTTAGTGCCTGGGGCGAGACTGATAGGTCCTGGGCTCGAATCTCGCAGGGGGCGGGATCGTAGATGCGCACTGCTGAGGAGTCCCATACTAGGACGAAACGGCCTTCCAGTGCTTCCAGGTTTTCCATAGTGGTCTAGCTTCAATCGACTCATGATTTCAACATTATTACGTAGTATGCGTGTGTTTAAATTTTTTTTAATTGTTGTCTTCATATATATTACTATCTTTTTATTAAAATGATGAGATTTTTTATAGGAACTTTTTTTATAGATTTGAATCGCTTTTTCTTCAAAAGTTTAAAATTTAGCTGTTTTGTAAATTTTCAAGACTTTTTGTATCCTTAGAAACGTGTACGTAATTCTGTAATAAAAGACGATTAAATTTTATAGATGATTAAGATATTTTTCTTTTTAGAAATATAAGTATCAATAATTTGATAAGTATTTTCCATTTGCTTTTCATTAATTGTTAACATGGTATGATATTTCAGTTTTAAAAGTTCTCAGTTAAGTAGAATATACGTATAAATTCTTATCAATATTTATTTATATTGTGTAATCACTTGTTTCTGGCCATTTGAACTATTGTCGTAATCAATATTGTAGACTGTTCTTTTACATAAAGTATATATTTATAATATTCAGTCGGTGTGATTCGTTTACACCCTTGCTATACTATATTCATGTGTCTTTAATATAAATTCCAACCAAACCTTTTCATGTAAGTAACTTAACCTAATTATGTAATTATGATTTTAAATATTACAGGTTGTAAGCAGCTGATGAGAACCAATAAAATAAAATAAATTTATGCTATTCTGCTAGAATCTTTGTTCTTGCCTTTTACAAAAATGAAGTTGATCAGAAGTTAGAGTGAATATGTCTCAGCGAAATGTTATAAACTTCTAAGGAAAGCTTAAAATATTGAAATTAATGTTATATTAAAAATATGAAGCATATTAGAATGATTTTGATAGGTTAGTGCAATGCGTTTCGAACAATCTGATCGTACATATACTTAGTAAGAATATATATATATATATATATATATATATATATATATATATATATATATATATATATATATATATATATATATATATATATATATATATAAGGTGGACCATACAATATTGAAGGTAAAAGGAAACATATACATTACAGATATCTTTTAACATGGTATGTATCATAAGGTTTCACGTTGTCACCTTTATTTAACTTTACTTTATATTTGTCAACTTAACCTTTTATGTTTTTATATATAATTGTTTTAACAAGTAATTGTGTGATGAGATTGTTCGAAATGTATTGCACTAATATATCACATAGTCCGGATTATCTTTGTCTTTTAACTAACTTTTCCAAAGTTATCAAACAGATCAGTTGTTTTGAATGTTGCCGTTAGACATCATATTTAATAAAATGTTCTTAAATATCTATCAGAATAGTAGAAAAAACTTATGAGGCTTGATTTAACTGATTAAGTAAATAAGTTAATAATTAGTAAGATTGAAGATGTATGATGAATGCAGTTCTTAGTTAGCTAAGAGATTAAAGAGCTTGAAAAAGTGTGCAGTCATATATTAGTTTTTTTGTCGGATAATCGTCTTTTTCTTGAAAGGAAAATCAGGTTATGAGCATAAGCCTATAGTTTAAGTGTAAGAGTAATTTTAATATTTTGCAGGAGAAGACGACCAGTGTAGCATCAGCCTCTGCAGCAGTAGGTATCAACATACACAAAGGGAAAACCAAGATTCTCCGATACAACACAGCATAAAACATTCGAATCACACTTGACGGAGAAGATTTGGAAAATGTAAAAACCTTTACATATCTAGGCAGCATCATTGATGAACATGGTGGATCTGATGCAAATGTGAGGGCACGGATCGGAAAAGCAAGAGCAGCATATTTACAACTGAGGAACATCTGGAACTCAAAACAACTTTCAACCATCACCAAAGTCAGAATTTTCAATACAAATGTCAAAACAGTTCTACTGTCTACTGTGGCGGAAACCTGGAGAACTACGAAAGCCATCATCTAGAGGATACAAGTGTTTATTAACAGCTGTCTACGCAAAATACTTCGGATCCGTTGACCAGACTCTATCAGCAACAACCTATTGTGGGATAGAAAAAACCAGATTCCGGCGGATGAAGAAATCAGGAAGAAGCTCTGGAAGTGGATAAGACACACATTAAGGAAAGCACCCAACTGTGTCACAAGGTAAGCCCTCACTTGGAATCCTCAAGGTCAGAAGAAAAGTGGAAGACCAAGGAACATATTACGCCGAGAAATGGAGACAGATCTCTGAAAGATGAACAAGAATTGGATAGAACCGTAAAGGAAGAGCCTGGACAGAGTGTGTTGGAGAATGCTCTAGTGGGAGTTACAGGCGTAAGTAAGTAATTAAGTAGTGATACTAACCTTGACATCATTGATAATCAGTTGACATTGTTTTCATTCCTTCTATAATAATGAACTAATCTCTATAAATTACTAAATTTGATAACTGTTATGTATTCACTAGTTATTAGTTTTAGCCTAGATTCTAGTGAAAAACCACAAATCGTAGAATAAACAAAGTGTAAAGCGATATAGTTATTTGTCAATCGGAATCACGTTATATTATAAACCGGTAGAAGTTATAAATATAGACTGCTGGGTTGTGATTTAATTTCGTAAGTGCACTGTGATAGTTCCAGGACTTGAGGGTGTTGTATTTTGATCCTTGGTGTAGTAATGATTTTCGATTCCTTAATTTCTCTCACATAGACTACAGTAATAATACACTATAATTTATACTTTAGAGCTGTTTTGTAAATAGCTCACAGATAATTATCTAGGGTTTAAGTTTGTATTTTTACATTCAACTATCAATCTCAGTTTGAATGTCTATGATATTAATATTCTTTTCCCTAAAACAAGTGTGGACCTGAGTATCCTTTTGTTTAAGGCACGAAGCTATCATATATATATATATATATATATATATATATATATATATATATATATATATATATATATATATATATATATATATATCCAAAAGATATTTGTTAGTATCATGAAACAAAAGTCAATTGATTAGCGCATATTTAATGTACAGTTTTTTATTAAATTCAGATGTTATTTCATAATTCTACTAAAACATATTCACTCTAAGTTACTGATATTCTGTTACTTACCGAAACCAGAGTTTTAGAACTGGTTCTTGTGGCGATGGGAGACTGAATAATTAGTCCTAACATATCAATGGGAAGATTCAAACAAACAATACAAAATGAATTGCTTCATATTTAGTTATATTAGTGAAAAAACTAGATTAGAATTAGTCAACTTTAATTTTATTGAGAAAGGTTGACTATTTTGAATCTTAGACTGATATATCACAATTCTGTTTCTTATCAGTATTCAAATTCGTCTTTTATCTTCATCTATAGAGCAGAAATATTAGTTACAGTCAAAGTTGTACAAAGAATTAGTCATAAAATAAAGAGTTACTTCACCAGTCTCTTCATTAGTTATTGCTTAATGAAAATCAACCCAGTAGTAGCTTCACATTTCTTTCTTATTAATCTGTGGTGGAATGAATATTACTAATGAAAAACTGAAGTTTCAACATCACTGACATTATTAGGTTCTTAGAGTTACTTTTCATTCCCTTATTTAGAGATTTTAGCATAACTATTAAATTCAGTTTGAGAGTTTGGTACAAATTCTAGACTATTTAGTTAAAAAAAAGTATTCTTTACGTCATACATGAGCTATAAATAGCAAACTCACAGTAAATATTTACATTGAATAGTCTCGTGCTAAAATATTCAGTCATAGTTAATAAAGGCTAACAAAATGATTTAGAGAGGGGGTTAACAAAAACACGTACAAACACCAATATCTGGAATATCAAAGCCATTTAGATTAGGAAAATCAAAAACACATCTCATCTGTTTCTATTCAACTGGCTAACTAAACAACCAGGGTAGAAGGTGATTTCTTACATTATTTCAGAGCTAAAGTGTTGTATATATATATATATATGTACATATGTGTGGTCGTGTGTTAATAGCTTCTGCATAATTTAAGATTATTTGCAAAAAAAATATGCTCAGCTGAGTTTATCACAGTCTACTCATATAAATACAGCAAATCCTAAACATATTAGCATCAGATAAAATTTATCCAATGAATTCTTAAATTCTTATTGTAGATTACACTTAGTTTTCTGTTAAATTAGAAAATTCTAAAAAAGGGTATTGTAGACGATCTAGTTTCTTTCTTTCCTTCTTTCTCTCTCTCTCTCTAAATGAATTAGCACTAAGTTAAAAAATTTCATAAGACTATACCTCATAAACGTTGTAAGTTATACAACTTGCATATTTTATTCGAATATAAACATTGTTTTCAGTCTGTATATAGTTACAGTTATATTATTATGGGATGGGGTTGCTAACCCCATGCCCAACCCTCCTCTTTTACCCGAGCTTGGGACCGGCAGTAACTCTAGAAGAGCTACAGGTGGAGTTAGTTACAGTTATATAACTTGACCAAATAAACTGGATAATTTAGTAGTTAAGTTGAGTGAATCTTATGTTCATACTATATTTTTTTAGTTCAACTATTTTTCTTATTTTCATTCTTTTTATGTGAATTCTTCAAATTTTCATTCTGATAATATTTGAAACTAGTGAACATGATTTGAAATATTTTGATACTACACTTATGCATGATACTACAGTTTTGTATGATTTAAGAAAAAGTATGATAATTTATACTTCACCCAAACAAATATGATTCACAGTTGTAGTTAGTTATGTGGTAGTCACTAATAGTTTTAATGCCTTTACTTATAAATAAGCTAAAATACATTCTGAATAGCATACAGTTTATATCTTATAAAACCTCAGAAATGATCGGGAGGTAAATCAGAATCCATGAAGCGACGTCATAATGTATCTCATTCTTAGTGAGTAGTCAAAGAATGTCAGAAAGTGTAATGAAGTACGGCAAATTTTCCTTATGAAACTTAGCATTTAATCTCGATGCAATATGTAACTACCATGTATTTAATGTTTTATTATAGTCTGTAAATTTATAAATGAATAAAACCACTAGCATGTCTAAAAATTACTTTCTGAGCACAAACAACAACAAGTTTTCTGTGCAAAACACGATAAATTTCTATCTCCAGTTTTCATGAACACCCTGTGACTAATCTCTATTGAAACTGATGTCTTGTTTTTGCATTATCTGCAGTGATCTCTTCATAATTTTTTGGCTTTATACATACATGCCATTTCTTTCAGTCCTCATGATGGAATATTAGTTGATTACAGTCTTCAGCCAATTAACCATAAGTTATCATTTAATTAATTTCCAAAATTATAGTCTCCACTTTTTTAAAAAGTTAATATTCAGTAGATAATGTTCTCGATATTAATTATATCTTCTCGTGATTTTATTGAACAGTACTGAAAACTAAATCAGTGGAGAAAGATCTTATCAGAATGTTATTAAATCGATATGAACAATTTGGTATAATTGGACGACCAGTAAATGACAGTAAAATTAAAGTTGATGTTCGTTATGGATTACAACTTTTCCAAATTTTGGATTTAGATGAGAATAAACAAATTCTGCGAACTAACTGTTGGTGTATGCATGTAAGTACATTTCAAAACTGTCAAGATATACTACGATAGATAAAATTATTTTTCCATATGGTAGGCGATATATATGAGTTGTTTATAAGTAAATGCTATTCATATTTGCTTATTGATCATAAAAGAAACAGTAGTAATCAACAATTTTTGCTGAAAAAGTCAATCACCAAAAAAAACATATTTTGATCAATATCTCCAATGGCTTTCGTTCCAAGCTGTCATTATAAAACATAACGAGCAGTCGACAAAAAGATGTATTCACTAATACTGTGTTTTTCAGTACCGTAATGTGAATTACAGATTAATTCATATCAGTAAAATCTGCTACTGGGACTATTCACTGGACAAAATATATGAAAATAAACTTTAATATAGTTGTTAAACCACCCGAAGATGTAGAAGTAAGGCTATATACATGTAGGGAATTGTACCTGTGTAATGTGTCACAGTGTTGATAAATGAAACTGAATTTCTTTTGTAAAGTAACCAAAATCTCGTCAGAAACTATATTATACCAAAAAAGGGACAATCAAATAGTGTGAAATGTACATATATGTTAAGCTTCCGTCCTAGCTTGGTATTATTATTGATCACGAGTTATATCAGGGCAAATAAAAATATTCAGGGATATGGATTTATGATTTTTGTTTCCAGTCGAAAGTGAAGATCAAGACGCTAGTTGTTTTATATCACAATAAGTAAACATATTTGATATGAAATATCTGGACATTTTTACTACAAGGTCATACAGATGTTGCAAGTGACTTCATCAGAACAGCTCCTACTTACAGATATGTTGAGTACAATGACTAGAGTAATTCATGGATCACAGTTGTGATCAAGCAGTTAATTAAAACAATTTTAACATTTTAAGATTGACAACGGAAAGTGAATCAGTATCGCTGTATTTTTTCTTATGTTAGTGCTGATCATTCTTTGAGAAGAACCATTCACATACGAGATAATAAACAGTCTCGCCTTTATCTTCACGGATTACTAAATCTTTCCCTTTTCACCCTAAAATGGATGTGGTGTCATTCATAAATGCTTGAATTAAATAATGAGTGAAACGTATATATCTTGTGGAATACTTTAAAATTATTGTTTGCATGCTAATTCTAGATGTTATCACATTGTCTATGAAACAAGAATGAGACTAATTTTTTACATTGACCTCAATTTGATATGTCAAGAGACAGAGGAGTGTATCCTAAGTATTTGTGTCTGGCTTTTTCTTATACGCAGCCAGTCTTGTCAAATAAAATATTAATTTGTGTCATGGAAAATTTGATAAAAAATCAGTGAAATATTCTGATAAATATTTATTAACCAGATAAATAATTAAAATAAGTACGTTCCAGTCAGTTCATATCTGATAGTGATACCTATATTCAGAATACAGTGGATTAAGTAAAAATGTAGACATTTATTGTTGAATGTAATTAGCTCTCAACCATTTAGTTACAACTTTAAAAATTCTCCAGTAGCTGAGTTTAGGGCATCTGAATAGTTTTATCAATCGGAATGATCAAAACCTGCTCAAAATCCAGTACTCATGCATTATGCATTATTCTGGTGGACATTATATTTGCTGACAGACATATACTTTATGAAAGTTACACACGGATCTAAGGTAGACAGCCACTGAAAACACTAAGCACTAGATGGCCGTTTCGTCCGAGCATGGGACGACTTAAAAGTGAGCATTCAAGAGCCCGCTCTCGGGAATTGAATTTTGTGATTGACAGAGCATACGATTAAGTCTAAGTAACTTTTCTGTTATTCTGTAATTATAGATACATTCTGATAAATCCTAAATTATTTTGATGAGAAATGTTAAAAGTTTAAACAGACAAGGGTGTCTCTTGTTAAACTACAAAAGATCAAATAAAACTTCTTTAAAATCAATTTAAACAACACCTTTCGACTGAATGAATAAAACGAAGATTATTGAGAATTGTTGACTTATAAATGAAATTTTAGATAGAAATGTTTGTTTTATCAAGTGAGGCTGTTGTAGAAAAAATGTATTCGACAGTTTGTGGTCAGAATTCACAGTTGTATTCAAAGTGTTTCTGAACAATAATTCATCATTTCACTCTAATAGATACTTTTCTCTAGTAGGAAAAATTTCAGAAAGTCGTAACATATTGTTGATAATATTTTAAGTACCTGAATTATATATTTGGCATCTACAACTTGAGTATCTGTAAATTATTCTAGAAATGGACTGATTCCCTCCTTCGTTGGAACGAAAGTGAATATGGAAATATTAAAACAGTTCGTATATTCCCATCACAGATTTGGACTCCTGACATTAAATTGTATAATTTGTGAGTAATGTAATTTCTATATAAAACAGTTTTGCAAGTGAACTAATTGACATTTTGATTTCTTTACATTCTCTACTGTACCATCTAAATAACTGTTTGAATTCCAGTGATGGATCTTTAGCGAATGTATGTAATGGTACAAATAGTATCATCAACATAATAATATGTGCTTGATTATTTGAAGAGTTCATTGGGATGATGAATCAATCTAAGTTAGATCACCACTGAAAAACTGGAAGCACTGGAGAGCCGTATGGAACCCTTTCTATTTTATGATTGACGTTTTGTGGTGTATTGAGCTTTTAATTTCTGAAACACTTTAAATCGAAGAATTAAATTAATAGAAAGCGTTAAGTTACATTTCTAATCTACTGCGTAAAAGTGAATTTGGTGGAAGTAAAAGTTGAATAAATCATCTTTACTACTACTCAGAGGGATATGTTTATTATTGGTTTCATATAATGTTTAACCCCTCTAGGCTTGATAGAAAGGATAGCCCGACAATCCATCCTAATTGAATGGTTCATTCAAACAACTTCATTTAATTTTATTCACTTCTCACACCATTAGTACACATAAACACACAAATTTTGGCCTGAACCTTTCACATTACCAATTTTACACTTTACATATTCATCAGCATATACACAAATGCACTCCGTGATGTCTTTCACAGAATCACCTTGACTACATGACAATAATGATATAATCATACGATTTTTGATTATGATTGATCTAAATATTTTATTACATTCATTCATGCTACTTAAACTGGTGTTAATTTAGTTTGGTTATTCATTTCATAGAAGTGGATTACACTGAGTCATAATACGTGATAAAGCCCAGTTTCTATGCTTCAGGACATTAGAAATATTATCATCATTTTACTACTGATTGTAATAAATTTTATTTTACTCTGTTTTATTGATAATACATTTAGGGATTTTGATGCCTTAAATCTTTATCTGTTAAGGTGCACAAGTATAGGATATTCTATATTTCTTTCTAAAAGTAATTACTTATTACTGTTATGAGCTATGTAAACTAACTTCATTCAAGTGGATATATCATGTTCGGATCACTCAGATATGTAATCTAATAATTTTTCGTTTGAATTCGATAAATAAATTGCTGAGATGTACATAATGTGTATAGGAATGGATATATTTCTCTATAGTATTGGACTTATTTAAATTCTAATTGATGATTGCAGTGTTAGACATGAATTTACTGGTCTTCAACTAATTGTTATAATAAGCATTTCTTTTCAATATTTATTGTTGTTTAATATGAGATAATTATTATAGCCAGGTGAATACTGGTTTACATGTTAATAAGTCGAGAATTCATTGAGAGATACGTGATTTCAATATGCTGTCTTAGAGGTTACTCAGATAAATAATTTATGTGCATATGTATTTCTTACGTCTCAACTGAAATAGCTACTCTGTGTTTATTAGTGCTGGACTCAATGTGATTCCTAGGACAATTTGCATTCACGAATCGATTGAGGTTAGAAATATAAACCTTTGGATAACAACACAATCGTCTAAAGGTTAAAAGGTCGACATAAGACCTGTAGATCTACGGTTTGATTCCTGTTGGCGAGGTCGTGTATACCTATTGCCTAATTATCTGATACTAGGACGAAACAGATTACCAGTGATTCCTGGTTTTCACCATTTCACTAACTAAGGTTTGAATGTGATGCAAACAATTAAATTTGTCCGAAATTTCAAACCAGGTAAATAGTATTTTGAATAGGTTCTTTTGATTATGACTAATAATCGTTAACGAAGTTAAAAGATTTTGTTTGAGTTTGAACTTGAAATGTGACATGATGTTTTAATTTATGTTAAGTGAAATGAATGGAAATACACTAGCTTATATTAATTATTATCAAGCCTCATATATTTATCTGTGATATTTTTAGTGCTGATGAACGCTTACGCGAATATAGAGACGCTCGTGTTGTGGTCTCAAGTAATGGAGAAACACTATGGCTTCCACAAGCATTATTTAAAAGTACATGTGAAGTTGAGATCACATATTTCCCATTTGACACACAGGTTAGCTATTTTCTAATTCACCTAGTAATTTGTTTGTTGTTAATCCTCTCATATTGTGTCTATTATCACTTAAAGAATTATATCGACTGATGTTTGAGTACTAAGTGACGAAGGACATAGTTATAAATAAAAATAATATATTTGTAATATCCCAATGAGTAGAAAATTGGATTTTCTGACGTTTCGTGACTTAGTGTAAGTCACTTCTTCAGAGAACAAATAACCAAATTAAAATTCATCCAAGTTTAAATAGTACAACGGAACAATGTAAGAATAATATTGGATCAATCAAAAACAAGTCTGAACAAGTTGATGTCATGTCATTTCTGTCAAGGTGATTCATAAGTGATATGTATGTAAATTTGTGTGTGTATATATGTGTATTGTTTAAGAATGAAAACTTGTGTGACCTTTATGGTAAGAAAGGATAGAGTTTAAATTTGTAATATGATAGTGTGAAATTGTAAATACGATCAGACTGAGTGGTTAGGATAGATGGTCCAAGTAGGATGTATAGTAAGACCTTCCTTTCTATTGAGAGAAGTAGGATTAAGCATTATATGGAACGCCTCAGCTACCCTCCTTTCTTTGTAGTTAGAAAAGGAAGGACATAGTTGTCCAATTTCGTTCAAATTCTATCACGTTATGTGCAATGATACTAATATGAGTCAATCAACATCATATGCGCGGCGCTTTGATGTAAAGTAGTTGTACGTAGAATGTAAGGAACCCGGGGTATAGGATTATTATCATTTGGGACTTGTCAGTAAATCTCACTCATAATCTCCAGAGAATTAATGCTTCCCGTGGTGTTCTAACTCGTGCCACAAAGTTTCGCAGTTGGAGATTCAGGATTTCCTGCTGGTCAATACGAATCACTTGATATCAATTATTGGTCTTTCTTTGAACAATAAGCATTGATATTTTGGTGATATATTGAGAGTTCCAGGTGGATATCATCCATGTATTCCGTTTTCATAACTTGCAGAATTAGTTCCGTGATTAAACTCAAAAATTAACATATGGAGGTTATAGACATCGATTTTTTACAGACAAAATAAACTATGATACATCATTTCTACCATGTAACTATTACTGGTATATAGAATCTACTTATTTTTCAATAAATTTACTTCTATTTTCAAGTTTAAATGGTTTAAAAATTAGAAAGTTGTTTGTGTGAGGAAACAATTATTTTTTTCGAAAACATCACCCTGATCAGTTAGATTTGTGAATTATGCCATTAACAAGTTAATCGAAACTTCGAAACCGTCAGCATGAATATCGTTTGTTTACTATTCATCAAAAAAATGTAAGATAGTACTCTTAATATAATCAATGAGAGATTTTGACGATTACTTCCTTCTAAGAAGAAAGGGTATTCAACACAAACTTGTACTTGAATATTTTAACATTAACAGAATAACTAACCTCAGAAATGAAAAGACTCATTTTTGTGACAAAGTTAGTTAACACTGATTCATTTCTCATTCATACTAGTAACCTGACAAGAAAGTAATAAAGATGAATCTAATAACGATAACTTTAATTCTCTGATTTAATTGTCGAATAAAACAGAAAACTTAAATAAAGTGAGACTTGACTTCTCGTTTTAAAATTATTATTCCGAACAGGCCAACAAAGGTCAAACAGTCACACGAACTTAGAAAATCACATGAAAAGGGAGATGTTTATTATTTTCTAGACATTACAAAGTTCCAAATTCATATATCTTGTTTGATCCTTTCTTTTATAAATGTAGTTATTTAACTTTAAAATTTTAATCAGAGTCAAAGATCCTACGTATGTATGTGTTGTTCCTAAACGTAAACTTAAGTCGATCAGGAGTCCAACACTAATATATATATATATATATATATATATATATATATATATATATATATATATATATATATATATATATATTCGGCTGAACTATTTAATTTAAAGAGAAAACATGTGAGAACTAGCTAAATTCATCAGTTGATCACTTGAATTGATTCTCCATCCTAGATCCAGAATATACAGCACTTTTTAGGAAAATACTGAATAAAAATGCTTGATCATTCATATCAAATTTATACTTTCTTGTAATACTGATTAACAATGAAATTCAAATTTATGCTATTATATCGTGGAAATATTTGATTTGGTTAAGTCAGTGTGACAAAATGTCTCAGTAATTATAACTGTCACTTAAGTATGATGCTTTTTGGTTGTAGAAGTTACAAATTCCATTTATTTCTAGTCAATGCATCATTTACTTAGAATGGATCAAATGAACCATATCTGAATTCGTTACATTACTATTTTGAAAATTAGGTCTAACAATTAATGAATTGATGAAACCTAAGAACGAATATCACAAAAATAGTTCAAACAATAATTTAGAAAGAAAATAAAGAATAGTATTTTCTTTTATAAGCAAAGATGGATAGTGGCTAGCAGTGTAATCCAGGACGCGCATTTCGTCCTGTTTGGGACTCGTCAGCTGGATGTACCTGCATCTCAGAGTTGATGTTCACTCTGGGACTCGAACTCAGTACCGTTCGCTTTAAACGCCATCGCGTTATCCACTTAGCTACTGAGTCCTGATAGCCACTTGCTTGTGCAATGGGGTGAAGTTTAATTCACTTGATATTGTTTTTACTTGAATCTTCCCATTGATGTTTTAGGACTGAAATTGATCAGTCTCTTATAGGCATACGCACAGTATGCACATATGCCAATAAGAGACTGATCAATTTCAGTCCTAAAACATCAATGGGAAGATTCAAGTAAAAACAATATCAAGTGAGTATTTTCTTTTGTTTATTTATCACTTTTATTGATGCTAATTAACAGCCAGGATATCTAATATCCTTCAATTATTCGTACAGTGTATATCTTTTAATTTCCCAGATCTAATATTCTGTTAAACGTTTTGAATGATATTGGTCATATTCATTTGAATGTGCTGTTTATTAATTTTTTTAAAATTTTATTGCTTTGCCACCATAAATCTTTCATTTCAATCAATCTAAATAATATTTTAGTTGAAAAGTAATAGAATTGATCTTTTTAATGATTTTAAAATGGTTTATTATCATGTACAGGAAATTCATTTATTTAGTTAGCTAAAACTTGTCTTTCATTAAATCACATTAAACTTCATTCTGACAATGAGTCGATTGAAATGAGTATTTGATAAAAAGCTGTTTTTTGGGATCCTATTAAATATTATTTGTCATCGTATGTTAGGATTTTCATTTAAGTTTAAATGAAGTCATGATAATCTAGGTCATTTATTCACTTTTGCATTAGTCTACAAATTAGACATTACTTAATTGTAGACGAATCGATACTAGCCTGATCGGAATCCAGTCTTTAATATAACTAATAAGAAAACAGTAACTCTTAAGAATAATTATAGATATCACTCTTGTTTAAAGTGAAATACAAACTGAAGGAGTCTTAAGAAACTTAGAGTGACATATTCAAACTTATTTTATACGTATAAGAATAACTTTGATTTTGTTTGGAAAGAATGTTTCATACGTTTGATTAAATAAAATTTATCTGAGATGTCTTTCTAATTAATAATAGTTTCTGATCAATAAAATGAGATATAAAATAATAATAAAAGAATAGCACAAAATAATTTATTTTTATCAGGTTTATGCTGAATTGATAAATCCTTATCTGTGGTCATCGTTAAGTTATTCATCTTGATGCATATCGTGGTTAAATAGTCACTCTATTGGTTTTCTAAATGTAAACTTCAAGCTATTCGTTACGATATTGATCCATGTGTGAGTGAGGGCACTTGGGAATTCATATTTGGATATTATTATGTTTTACCTTGGTCCGATGACTTTCAATAACTGCTCGTTATTTCGTGTCTGATCAAATATGAAAAAGAAATTTATCTGAATTTTCATATTTACTGATCAATGTGAGCTTTAAATGATAAGTAATTGAAATTAATAACAAGTTGAAATAGGGAATAGTACCAATATATAGGACTAGTTTAGCAGGTGCAACAATATATAATTGATATGTGGTTACGATAGTTTTATTGGATTATTTACTGTCCCATTAAAAAATATTAACGCTTATCTATTTAAACAATAATTCTTTCCTATTAACATAGATATGCATGTTAGAATTTGGATCCCTAACGTATGATAGAACTCAAATGGACATATTATGGTGGATTCCGGATTCACCTCCCATAGAGGAAATGCCATATTTAGATTTCTCAGATTACGTACCAAGTAATGAATGGCGTACGGATGGTGAGAAAGAACGTGAAGTACACCATGTCAACCGTACTATACAAATTCGATCAGTTAAGAAACATCGACGTCGAAGTTAAACTGTTGGTAATGAAGTGATCACAAGAGAATATCCAGTTTTACGATATTTAATACGATTGAGAAGGAACCCGAGTTTTTATGTATTCATGTTAGTGATTCCATGTGTGTTGTTATCATCTTTAACATTGGTTGTATTTTGGTTGCCTCCAGAATCTCCGGCGAAAATGATGCTTGGTAAGTACACTTAATTACATGCATATAGTTTCCCAAAAGAATGAACACATTAATATAATTCATAAGGGAACCAATATTTCCTCTAAAATGGTGGTTCAGTTAACAGAATTATCTTTACTTACAAGTTTAAGTTCATGGCCAATTTACTGATGGTTACAATTACTGACTGTAAGTTGGTCAGCTTTTAATAAGCAACAGTAATAAATATCGGTTTGAATGTAAATAACCCGTAACCTTATTTGTACAACATCGATACTCTATAATAACTAAAGCGAAGCAAGTTCTCAGCTTACTTCCTCATTTGTATATATATAGAAAATGAACGTTTATTTTGTGAGATATTCATGAATGTGTTTACTTCAATGAGTGTAGCTTGAGCTGAAGTAACAGGTATTATTATTACTCGCTGAATGATAATGAAGTTGGTTTTGAGGATACACGTCATATCAAATTAATTTTATCTAAGAATCAAATGCTTTTTCAGATCATTTTGAAGAAAATACGGTGTACACAATCCACAGTTTTTGGTTATATACACCGTAGTTAAATAAAAGGATGTATCACTTTTAAAACCACACAATAACACTTAGGTCCTCCAACATTTTTTACCACTCGGTAGATAAATACCGGTCGAAACTGCAGTAATACGGTTATTCTGTAGCATTGCATTGCAAAATAATCAGCTTTGAAACATACAGCCTCTCGTATTAAAAAAACACGCAGGTGACTTACGCAAAACGTTTTCAACAATCGCCTCCTTTACCTGCTCCAGTCTTAAAAAAAGACTTGATCAAAAGAACATCGATACTCACCTTGTTTGAACGTGTCTCATTTTTTGAGTAGCAGTTTGCAATCACTTCGTTAAGCGTTGAGGAATTATCAATGTTATTACTTTCTCAGTGGGATTTCCAATTCTAAGTAGTTCTTACCTTAGATGCTTCTTCATATAAACTAAAATGAGTCATATAAGAAAATTAACTAATTATTAAAAATGAGACCAAGAAAATGTTTAGCTTTTATTAGATTTCAGCTTTAATCTTTGTGAGATTTATAAACGATTTAGAAATTATTTTTAAATGCACATAAGATAGTCCTGTTGAGAAGAAAATTTAAAAACCAACTAATTAGCTAATATCTATGGTTACAAATCTACATACCGCTATTTCAAATCCCTTAAGGATTATTTACCTACGGATATTCAATCAGGAGCTGAGAAACAGCATCTCAAAATCTTTAGTTTAATCTAAATTATAAGGCTAATGAAGCGACTAAATATTAACTTTCATATGTCAACTCAAATTGAAAATCAAATAAATTTGTGGTTAATAAGCTGTAAATGTTTGAGTTCTTAAGTGTAATGTACACCAACAATTTTGACTGAAATATTTCATATTTTTCTATATTTTCTTTAGTTTACTAGTACAGAAGGTATGCTAATAAAGTTAACTAACGTTACCTAATTAAACATAATTATTGAAGAAATAACTAATTAATTTAGCTTTATAAAACTTTCTTCACAATTGAAGGTGATCAGATGATCATATTTTCAGAAAATGAAATGACTTATTTTTTACATTAGTAGATTGACTATCATAATCATGAACCAGAAAAAGATCACTATTTTTAGAAGATTATTGGATTTATTAACCAAAATAGTCTAATGAATATGAGCACCATATGTTCATACTGAGCACAAAATTATTGATTACATCAAGATTTGTAAATATTCAAAACATTAATGTAGTTCAGAAGACTCTCTACTGTCTGTTATATTTAAAGTGATTTTCACTTCAGTAAAATAAGTGAATGAATAATTATGTATGCGAAATAATCTTAGTATTATAAGTTATATTGAAATCTGACCTAAGTTCATATTTTTTTGAAAGCAGTAAAATGACTATGTTCTAGTTACATATTTAAAAGTCTTATAAGTGATAAATAGTGTGTTGGGAATAGTGTCCACTGCTTATACCAATAACAACTTTGTTATTCATCAAAGTCTAAGAGTAAGAACAACCAAATTCAGACTGTAAAAGTGAATTAATGAAAATCAAAAGAAGTTCATTCGAAAAAGTTAGGAAGGAACACACTCTTAAATCTTAAATTAGTTTGAAATTATAAAGCATATTTAGATAAACAAATATTTTTGGTTGATAAGAAAATCGTTATTTGTTTATGTTGGGTCGGCTTCCGGAGAACTTCAACGGATCCTCCAGAGGCCCAAAAGGAGCCGAAGAGTCCTAGCCAATCAGAGTATGATGGAACGTTCTAGAATTCCAATGTGGCGTGCTACTATTAGTAGGTAGCATAATATGTCGTTATCGGATTGGTTGTAAAATGATGTTGATTTAACAGACGCCAACATCTATAAATACCCTTGATTTTCTGTACAAAAAGGAACCTTGTGATAAAGTATTTTCACTCATACTTGTGTCTTCTCTCTGGTGTTTAAGTCGCTGTGTAGTTCTAGACTGCGGGTTGCCGGAATAGCTTAGGAACAAGTATAGCGTTCAATTGACAAGACTTAACAGTTTATAAGTTTTAAAGCCAACTTTTAAAGAAAACTATTATCAAAGACGAAACCTTATAAGGAAATAAAAAGGCTTCTAAGAGTAACTAAACACTATCAATTTTAAAATTTCTGTACATATTCACATCGATCAAACTTGTTTTAAATTAACACTGAAAATATTTATTGATAATTCATAACTATTTGATTAATTCAATTAACTTAGAGATTCTGACATCACTAAAAATATTTATGTAGGCTGTAAAAGTTTTTTTTCCAAACTTTAGAATTGAATTACATTCAAGACTTTGTAAAACCACTTCCATGGATGATAAGTATATATCAACTACTGAGTGTTTTGAAGGATATAACCAAAAAATGTACCTAAATATCCTTCACATACCTCACATTCTAGATTAATTGATTTCTATATTCCAGTAAACCATCTAGGCTTTAATTCATTTTCAGTATTCATAATCAATGGTTAATATGGTAAATATTTCTTTGGTACATTTAGTGTTCATATTGTTTATAAATGTTGTGATATTTAGTTTCAAAAATCCCATCTGAGTTTTTCACCATAATGAATAAGAGTGGCATTGTCTTGTATGCAAAGTAAATGTTAATGAGAACCCGAAAATGTACGATTAATATAGAAACGTTTAAATAAATTGTATCAATCTTTGAAAAAACCGTGATCTAGTAAACATATTTTAATTAGAGAAATCTAAATTTTATTTCAATCATTGCTTACATGTAATAACTAGTTAGCTATCTTGACATATGATTACAATGGGACTATATTAAAAATAACAATTAATAAACGAACACAGAAACTGGTATCAGTTGATTAAATCAGGTACGTTTGATCTAAGTTGTTTAAAAAACGGTTTGCTGATCGTTCAGGAACCTAAAAATGTGATTTGACAATAACTTACTACTATTACGATAAAGAAAAAGCAGAATGGTAGATGATATATAGAAGTCGGTGAGTAACATTTGGGACAAATATGTATCATTTGGGGTTCAAAAAAATTAAATATATTTTTTTAAGGGATTTGAAATAGATTGGTAATCTGAGATACTTTACTGAATTACCTAGATAGACTGAAATATATGCATTCAGTAGGTTGCCTATAACATAATCTATGAAAAACAAGCCTTTTATTAGCGCTTTGCTGATCCCTATAGAAGATAAAATCAGAGCTGAGCAAACTTTAGATATTTAATTTTCAAAAATTAACTTAATATATCAGTCTTTTCTTAAAAATATTTCCTATTTGAATCAAATTTTTGTTGTTTGGAGCAACCTTTTAAAATAACATTTTGTACTACCCTAACCAATTGGGTAACTTTAAAACTAATCTACGTTTATTTTAACTTAAAATGATTTTGTTTATTGAGATCTTCAAAGTTTTATCTATTTTCGTTTGCAAATTATAAATGCAAATAAATGATGATATTACTAAGTAACAGTTTGGCCAGTGATTGATTTAAGATACTGACTATTTGTTTATCATATGGTGTGAAAAATATGCTCTCAAAAAGTGTACCATTCATTTCATTTTTGATCAGTTATCTATGAATACATAGGATTATCATTTCAGAACGTTTTGGGGATTGTGAATAACGAGAACATTATTCAAGGACTGTTATGAAGAACGTCATACTAAAAGATTTAAAAGTTAATTATCATTTAATACTGGGTTTTAAGTGAAAATAATCATCCATTTACATTATTTACGTTGATGATGTTTGAAAGTTTACTGGGAATATATGTGTACAGACTTTTTTAAAACGTTTAACGGACCGAAAATGTAGAAGGCTAAACGGATCGAACAGAAATGAATAGCTTTTTCATCAAACACAGGACATTCGGCCACCTTCAAAAGCGCGTTAAATTTCAACCTTTTCGTAGATACCTAACGGTCTACGTTGTCAACTTCAACAAATTCACGATGTAGCCGGAATGTTAGCCATTTATATTAGTAACAACTTTATCAATCCCATCATAGCCGAAACATGTCGGTTACAACATCGGCAACTCATCTTTTAGCCAGTTACTAGTGGGTGGAAATATATAACTAGGATATGACAGCTGAATATCTTGTCTAAGGGTATACAGTTCAATCGAATGTTTATTTAATGTGATTCAAAAATCTGGTCAAAGTCAGTCTATGAAAGTTTATTTATA